CGCGTTTCCATATATAAGCACAAGATTTTTGTTCTTCCTATCCAATGAGGGATAAAGTTCCTTTGTAAAAGAAACTAATTCAAAATTACATTTCCCTCAATTTCTTTTCCCACCAATTTCCATTCACACCTCTTTTGATTTAATAATAAAACCCAACAACTTTTACATACTCTACCAATAACAGGTCGTATTTTTTTTTTCCACGGTGGTTTTCTTATGAATCAAATAAAAGGAATGAAAGCCAGGAAAACAGAAACCTCATATTGCTGAATGGTTTAATTTCCCCACAAGTTCAATCCACAAAACCTATAATGTTCTAATTACTAATTAACAAAACATTAATCAACAAAAACCTCACAATCTCATGACAATGCATTTTAGTTGCTACAAATGAAACCTCCAGAACTAACTAAAGCAAGCACAAACCCTATACACGGATGAAAGATATATTGCCATTTTGTGCACGTTATTTTCAAATATTAAATTTATCCTAATTAAAAGGGTTTTTGTTTTTCTCTTTTCATGAAGAATTTATTAATTAGAAGGTGCATATATCAAGCAAATTATATAAATATCAAACTCCCTAATATTTGGGTTGTCCAATATACACAAGAAGGAAGAAAATTGCATATTTTGTGAATATGGCGACTAAAGTCCTGAATAAAGCAAATGCTTGGCCGGGCGAATTAATATCTATAGGAGGAAGAGCTATTATTATCAAACACATTCTATAATCTCAGACTCTACACTTACTAACTGCCATGGTTCCTCCAAAAACTATCCTCAATCAAATAGAATCTTATTTTTCTAACTTCTTCTGGGGTATGAAAGAAAGGAAGAACAAATATCATCGGAGTTCATGGGATAAGATGTGCTACCCATATGAGGAAGGTGGGGTTGGATTCAAGAAATTGCAAGACATATGCTCTTCATTCTCTGCTAAGAGATGGTGGAGACTCAGAACTGAAAAGAACCTATGGACAAAATTTCTCCTAACAAAATATTGTCCTAGGTCCAACTTACTATCAAAACAGAAAAACTCTAAAGATTCCAATATTTGGAGGAATTTACTAGACACCTGGAAGATGATTGATTCCAATATCATGTGAAAACTAGGAAAGGGATATGTTCTTTTCTTGTGGGATAACTGGCTTAGATCAGGACCCTAGTCCAACACAATATCCAACCTAGAAAATCTGGGAACACAAAAGTCAAAGATTTCATTTTTGACAACAACTGGAATTCAAATGCACTCAGGAGAACTCTCCCGGATCACATCACTGAAGAGGTTTTAAAGGTGGACATTAGAAACAAGGAAGATACAGCTATTTGGTGCTTGAATCCTAATGGCCACTTCTCATGCTCCTCTGCCTTCAAAGCATTCAGACAAAAAAGGAACAAGAACCCATAACTTGCTAAACTATGGAGTAATGAAGTACCATTCAAAGTCTCATTCTTGATGTGGAGGATCCTAAAAAAGAAACTTCTCATTGAGGAACATTTACATAGATTTGGACTCAACATAGCTACTGGATGTGTTTGCTGTAGAGAAGCCAAGGTGGAGACTGCTAACCATATTTTTATTCAGAGTGACATAGCTTCTAATACATGGAGAAGAATTGCTAGTCTCCTGGGTATTGATATCACACTAGTGAGTATCCATAATACTCTTAATAAATAGTGGAAGCTCAAGCCTAACAACGAGGTTCATAGGATGCTTTTACAAATTACCCCTATCATTGTATGCTGGGAGTTGTGGAAAGCTAGATGCTCCAAAAAATATGGCCAACAGGCTACATCACTAATAAGAATTTGGCACCAGGCTACCTTCCAAGTAAAGGTATCTCTGGGCAAAAGGTTCAGTAGAATGGAATCCAAGTGAAACTGGGACATGATATGTAAAATTACCATGAGCCTAAGCTTATTAGCAAACTTGTGAAGTGGAATGATACTCTCTGCAATTCTTTCACTCTTCACACTGACGGGAGCTACATGGCTAGGTGGGCAAAGTTGGTGCACGAGGAGTTGTTAGGAGAAGAAATGGAGAGATGGTTATGGCATTTGCTATACCTCTCCAATTCTCAACTAACAATTATAGTGAGAACTATGCAGCCTTGCTTGGAATTAATTGGTGCTATGCACATCACATAGATATCTTGTACCTTCAACTTGACTCACAACTACTTGTCAATATGATCAATGGCAAGCTCAATCCTCCATGGCACTTGTACAATGAAGTAGAGCAAATCCAACACAAAATCAGGGAAAAACAAATTCAAGTCCATCACTGTTACAGAGAAGGAAATAAGGTGGCTGATTCACTTGCAAAATATGCCACAACACTATGCCGAAATGAAGTCTATCTCTAGGAGAATAACTTATCCAGGGAAGCTAAAGGAGCACTTAAAATAGACAAATTGGGACTCCCTTCCTTCAGGATAAGGGCAGCCAAACACTCCGGGTGGTACCTTGATCCTCCTTGAACATCTTTCATCTTTTCTTCAAGGCATGTTCTGATTCACCAAGTAGTCATGCCTTTTGTTTCGGCACTGCCAACACTCCTATAGGAAGTTGGCTTTGCTGAATTTTTTTTTGTCTAATGTTGGTTATGCTCCAGCATTGTTCCTAGTTGGTTTAGATTAACTAGGTTTTATGGAGGTTAGGTTTTATGTCCCCCTCCTTGTTGTACTAATTTTCCTTTGAGTTATTAATATTCAAGGTGGGGTTCTAGGCCAAACCCCCCACCACCACGGGAGATGAAATCCTGGGTGGATGGATTGAATAAAAAAAAAAAAAAAAAAA